ATCCCCCCCCATTTATTTTCATGCATGTAATCACTAAAGACCGGAAACACAAGCACAAGTGACAAAGTTTTGCCTTTATTGCAGTTCAAAGTCTGGTAAACGCTGTCCTGTAAATTTGCATAACCAAAGGGTATTTGACCAGTAGGTGATGTAAATATTACAGATTGTTGACCTTCTGGCTGTTTTAAGAGGTAATTTTTAAAAGCTGTATGGTTGGCAGTGTTGTGTGGTCAGAAGTAATTTTGTAAAACTTAGTGCGATTGCAGCTTAGGGCTGTTTTTAAGGTACAGATAGATAGTGCTAACCTTCTTTCATCCCTTAATTTGCATAGTGTACACAGTACCAGCTGACTGTCTCCTGTCTCTAACTTTAGCTGTTCCCAGAGCTAACCTCTCCATATACTCAACCCACTGGTACCTATAAATAAACATTTCATCGATTGCTTGAAGCTTCCCATCCACACAGTAAACACACAGAGCGTCACCTCAAAGTTTGATGCGGATGAACATAAAAGTGCTGATATACATAGAACTTTTTTTCGATCTCAGAACCGTGGATCAGGGTTGGTGAAGATAGTGGGCTTGGCTGATCAGAACTCTGACATTCTGAGTTATGCAACTTGTTTCCGCAGCCTACAGTCCAGTACGCCCACCTAAGCCTCCACCTTTTTATTTTTCCATTTCTGACTACTGAAAACTTGAGAACTAACTTTAACTGGTATAATAAGACAGCCCACTTCGCTACTAGATGACTTTGTTTCATTTGGCTCTTCGGCATCTCTTTTGGGGGGTGTCTGTTGACAAACGATTATAAATCATCACTGATGGTAACAGAAAATGGCCTTGAACAAAACTGTGACCTGAATGCTCTCCATGGGGCTCCTTTGTGGTGACTCTTGAGTTCGGTCATTAGCAGTGAGGTGAAAGAACATGCTGAGAGTGTGAGCCTCTAACAGGAGATGAGATCTGATTAATCACACACTCCACATGGTGCAAAAGATCGGACACTTTCATCTGCACAGGAAGTCCAGTGTAGACTTGGACCAAATGTGTGAATCATATGTGTCCAGTGAACTGTTATGGCATCTTTTAGAAATGAAAGTGAGGTGTTTTTTTTTTTTTCAGATTAGATAGGGTACGCCTAATGTAATATAATGCAATGCAGATCAGTCAACTACAGCACTACTGCATTACTTAAAAAAAAATGAAGAACATGTCCAGATGTTCCTGAATAAATTTCTGCAAAAATATTCTGGATTGCTGTGTCAATCTGCTCATGGAAGGAGATTCATGATGTGATTCACTGAAGTGACCGAACCATGCATTGATTAGGTATTAAAAAAAATCTTCAACATAAATTAGTTCAGATTTTTGATCAACTGTGTATGAGATGCTCCTACAGTGATCTTTAACCTCTTCTCCCACCCTTCCCCTCCAGGAAACAGGAAAAAGGGCACAGTGGTGAATGGATTTTTACTCTTCCTTTGGTTGCATCTCTTTAGGGAATGTAATCTGAGAGTGCTTTTGCCAAAATAATCCATTTTTCAACAACTGGATTCAGGAGACAATGAAAGGACCAAACTATGAATGTGAACTGGTGCTACCAAACATAACTCAATAAGCGGGCCGATTGCTCCCCAGTGCAATACTGGCAGCATCTCTTTCCTGTGTTCAATCTTTTGTATTACCCATGCATGACCTCATCAGTAAGTTCTGAGCTACTATTTTACAGATACATGACTTACTCTTGAGTTAAGTTTAACCCTCCTCAGGCTATCTGTGGAGGTCAGGCATTACAGTAAAACAGCTCACTTTTTTCCCCCAACATCAGCTGTTCAGTTCAAAAATCTAAATTTGGGCATGTCTCTGTTGCAGCTACCGGCCATGCATGTGGCATGTCTCTCATAGCAACACATCAGTTTTGATTGACGTCTAATGCTGCTGAATTTTGACATGTAGGCAGAGTAACTCTGCGGTTGGTAAGCCTGCAGTCATGAGACCGCTTTGACCTTACTTGGGCATTAATGTTGTGGGTTTTACAGATGTGTGTGTTTTTTCTGAATGTGTGTATTTTGTTATATTTTATATGGCGTGTATATACCGATGTCTTTTGGCTTAAAGTCGTTGTGTTCTCTCTGTCTCTGTTTATCTGCAGGGAAATTGCAGGCATACACAAATCCTGTTTTACACTCGTAGTTCCAGAGTAACACTTGAAATGGTAGTTTCTTTTTGGAACATCTCTGATCACCTCTTTTTGAATTGTTCCACAACTTAAGAGCTTTTCACGGAAGTATAGCAGGTAAGTAGAAAACAAGAGAGACTCAAGATACACATGTTAAAGTCTGCCAAATCAGCCCAAGGTCTTTTAGTAAGGCCTCTTCCCAAAATATTGCAAATATCACTACTTATTTAGAACTAGTTAAATTGGCTATTCATTATTTTTTATTAATTCTTAATTAGAACCAATCCCATTTAAAAGAATATAGAATGTTTTTATGGATTTAGATTCCATTAAAGGTTCTTAAACATGCATTCCTCTGTTGATGCGGACCGAACGCCGTACTAAAATGACTCTGAGTCGGTTCTTTTAGTGAGTTAAAACCATACAGTCCAACACTCTGATTCGTCTCATTAGAGAATCACACACAGCTTAGCCGTGCTGCGTCCCAATGTGCCTACTTATACTACACCCTTAAAGTATGTACTCAACATTGTTGTTGTAGATTAAATATCCTAAAACAGATAACATTAAATAAAATGTATTATTAGTAGCTCAACCCCTTTATCTAAACCTCTCTACTTAACCGTTGGTCACGCACATCTGCCATGTTTGTAGTTTTTTTTTTACGTTTTTGATTCGTGATTGTAGTCCTGAACCAAATCATTCGTCAAAGTGCAATGGATTGTGGGTAATATTAGCCATCAAAGTGTGCATGGATTCACACTTCAAAAATGTACCTGAAATAGTAGACCATCCGGGGACTTCTGGCATACTCTTTTCAACATACTGTGCTTTGGGACACACTTTTAAATCTGAATTTAAATCTCACATACTATTTAGGATGGATAGTATGAACATTGGGACGCAGGGCCAACCAAATGACAAGAACGAATTACTGTGAGCCGGTTCCTATTATTCAATCAAAATCACTCATGATTCAGTCAGAGTGAATAGCTAGGGCCTACTGAATTTATTCGCTGACTGAACCGTTGAAAGTTATTACTTTCGTCATCGCCATCTCTAAATTAACCGAGAACTGTTATCTTATGTTGTGCTTAAAGGGATAGTTCACCCAAAAATGAAAATTAGCCCATTATTTACTCACCCTCAAGCCATCCTAGGCGTATATGACTTCCTTCTTTCAGATGAATCCAATCAGAGTTGTATTAAATATGGACTTTGATCTTCCAAGCTGCAATGGCAGTCAGCGGGTGTTGCAGTTCATCAGTCCAAAAGAAGTGAAATAAAGCGCATCCACCCATAATACAAAGTGCCTCACATGGCTCTGGGGGGTGAACAAAGGCCTCCTGTAGCGAATCGATGCGTTTTTGTAAGAAAAATATCCATATTCAAAATGTAATAATCACTTTAATCTAGCTTGCGCCAGCAGTTGTACACGGAAGCAGCTCCGGGGGGATGATGTAAGATTTCAGCATTGAGCATGCGCCGGTGAGTCTCGTGAAAACCAGTGTTTGTTTACAGGAGCAAAGGAAGCAAAGTTTCCTTACTTTAGCAAAGGAAAACAAGTCTCCTCTTGGCTTATATCGAAATCCTCCGACATTCTTCTTTGTAATTCATGGGCTAATTTTCATTTTTGGGTGACCTAACCCTTTAAGGCTAGCGCGGCTTATATTTTCGTTTTACTGACTGATTTATCATATGTGTAAAGATTTTACTCAAGGCTTTGTTGCTATTCTATAAAAATGAATGAAATATTAATTTGAGTAATTTTATTGTTAAGACCAATTATTTGTTTGTGTCACCTCTTAAGGCCCGTGAAAGTCATTACTGTGAACACCATCTGAAATCTGAATTTATCGCATTAGACTGATGTGGAGATTAAATGCGATAACAAAATGTTTTCCCAAATACTTCTTCTAGAACTCAAAAAGAATGGTTAATAAACTGTTATGAACTAGGAATGATAAAGATGATTCTGAATCCGAATCACAAACATCAGGATTCCTTACGATTCCCATCTCTAATCACCACAATCGCGAAAAACGGCAGCACCTCGGACAATTCCACACCCGCCCCGCCCTCAGGGAATGATTGACATCTAGCTATCCACCAGCTACATCCAATCAACGGAGGATCTGGGACTTGCAGTCGTTGCCCGTGGATACAACAGTGGGAGCTTCAAAGCGGTTGTTTACAGTTGAGAGCGGCAGTCTGACTGGAGGACTCTGACTGGACGGAGGCATCTGCGATTTTCTTGCAGATGGGCTAAAGGCGAACCACCTGGGAAGTGCACGGACAGTAGTTATCACCAGCGCACCTATAGAAAAAAGCAAACTCCAGCTTATCTTGTAGATGCTCACCGGCCGCTGATAGAATCACGGGGTTATTTTCCTCACGACTGGTGCGCATCTTGTCTGGGTTGCTTTAGGACAACAGCAGGATCTTACATTCCACATCTTACAACTGACAAGCTTTTTGTCGGACCAAACGCACTGGGCGAGATGGATAACGAAAAGTACTTGCCAGAACTGATGGCGGAGAAGGATTCTCTGGACCCGTCCTTCCAACACTCATTGCGGCTTCTTGATCAAGGTAAGTCTCCTGTCAAACTATTCGGGCACACCTCTTAAATTCTTTTACGCGATGTTGCGTGTTTGTTTTGCGCGATCACTGGTTGAAAGACTAAGGAGGTGATGATGACCCGCTTATTTTGTTTTCCTATTGTTGCCCAATTCGCTTGTTGTAACATATACCAACATACTATGAATATATGCATGTGTATTGTGGCAAGCCGTTTTAACACGAATTCATTTAACATTTAAGTAATAGTGAATAGTTTTTTTTTCAGTTTCACTAATATAAATTCTTTAGACACTATTTCTTGTTTCTAGTTGTTGTGTAATGTTTATCCATTACATACTAGTGCTCTGCTATCCCATTTTTTGCTGGTAACGGATTGCATTTTCCGCCTTAAATATTCACTAGTATCTTTTTCCAGTTTTTCTACTAATTACATAGACACTAATACACTTTTAATTGGCGCTAGTGTATTCCCATTGTTACTAGTACCCACTGAACTGCAAAGTATCCATTTTGACTAATATTACATATGAAATGTGAAATAAAATGTAGCTAGAAATGTTAGTGGTGACAATTGAGAGATTCTAGTGTCTACTAGTAGTCGCATATTCATACTAGTGTCTAGTGTCTAATTGAATATACACTACTGGAATAAGTACTAATATCTAATTACTAGTAAATCTGAAAAATTGCCACTATTGAATTACTTTGTTGCCATTTAAAACAAATAGGCCTGCTAGTAACAGACATGAATACTAGTTAGAGAAATAAATGTTAAAACGTTGTACCTGCTCATTGGTATATCTACATTAAAATGAGGTAAAATGGTGTATGCCAGAAAGTGCTGAATTTCATCGTAAATCTGTTTCTTTAAACACTGTATGTGGAAATGTTAGATGATTTATTGACGATTACTTTTTAAAAAAATTTTTGCATATTTTTTTTTCTGTTCTCTGTGAGGAATTAAGCATTTTCTTAAGAGCTTGAGCTCATTTGCGCTTCTCTAAGGAAGCAGAGCAGATTTGAGTCCGGAGAGAGTGCAGACTCATTAATTAATCCGTTTTAAAAGCGCTGCGCAGAACCGTTATTTTTGATAACGAATGTAGCAGGTGCAGTTATTTGCGTCTCTGGATTGAATGTGAATCTTTCGGGGCTCTCAGGCAAATCAACATCTAATGGAAAGTGTGTTTAAACACCAGAGCATTTCATCCAGATATTTGTTTTTCGAATTTTGTTTTAACATTTGCATTCAAATTATTTGTTTTTAAGATATAAACAACCTTCATGTCTACTTATCTAAATGACCAGCTTGAGGCAAGGTTGAAGGTTTGGTTTGAAAGTTGTCAGGAACATTAGCAACTAAAGCAAAGACTCACTGGTCATATTAAAAATGTTGATGTTGCATGAATGCTGTTGCATAAAAATAGGGCAAAATGGCATTATTCTGTTTAATTTCTTCCTACCAGTTAAAAAAGTTTGGCACATAGCTGTCATAGATTTTCGCTCCATCTCTTTCTCTCATCCGAATGCTCTCAGTCGCAGTGTTGCACAAGTAATTTACTCATGAAACAACTTGATGGCAATTGTGTGCTTTTTCATGCGATCCACCGAAGATATTTCCCATGATTCACTGGGCAGAATCAGCTGTAGGATCTCCAACTAAAACCATAGAGCTTTAAATCTGGTGTACCAGTGCAAAAGAGAGTCCGTTTGCAGCTTTAGGCATGGTGCAGCCACTCTTCAATTAAATCTGCACTTTTGCTATAGAATGTGTTTCCTGGCTGTTACTCTTGAGTTCACTTTGCCCAGGGGAATGACTGAAGGTCTAAGAGCTCTAACACACTAAGGCATATGTGGTTTGATAATAAGCTGCAGCGTCAGCATCGTGGAGCATGTTCTTTTTGAGCAACTGTTCATATATTAATGGGGAATGGGATTGAGTCTCTTGTTGGAGCATAATGTCTTAAAGTAACAGTCGAAAGTCATTATTTACTCACCTTCATGTTGGTCCAAACCCACATGCTGTGTATTTGTGTAACTGAAACATAATTTTTTTATTTTTATGCCCACAAGTAATTTACTCATGAAACAACTTGATGGCAATTGTGTGCTTTTTCATGCGATCCACCGAAGATATTTCCCATGATTCACTGGGCAGAATCAGCTGTAGGATCTCCAACTAAAACCACATAGCTTTAAATCTGGTGTACCAGTGCAAAAGAGAGTCCGTTTGCAGCTTTAGGCATGGTGCAGCCACTCTTCAATTAAATCTGCACTTTTGCAATAGAATGTGTTTCCTGGCTGTTACTCTTGAGTTCACTTTGCCCAGGGGAATGACTGAAGGTCTAAGAGCTCTAACACACTAAGGCATATGTGGTTTGATAATAAGCTGCAGCGTCAGCATCGTGGAGCTTGTTCTTTTTGAGCAACTGTTCATATATTAATGGGGAATGGGATTGAGTCTCTTGTTGGAGCATAATGTCTTAAAGTAACAGTCGAAAGTCATTATTTACTCACCTTCATGTTGGTCCAAACCCACATGCTGTGTATTTGTGTAACTGAAACATAATTTTTTAATTTTTATGCCGCCTTTGTAAAGAGACCACAGATGTTAAGTCCAAAAAAACAAAACAAAAACAACAAACATCGTAAAATTAGTCCAACTCAATCACTTTGTGTTTCATTAAAAAAGTTTGGCACATAGCTGTCATAGATTTTCGCTCCATCTCTTTCTCTCATCCGAATGCTCTCAGTCGCAGTGTTGCACAAGTAATTTACTCATGAAACAACTTGATGGCAATTGTGTGCTTTTTCATGCGATCCACCGAAGATATTTCCCATGATTCACTGGGCAGAATCAGCTGTAGGATCTCCAACTAAAACCACATAGCTTTAAATCTGGTGTACCAGTGCAAAAGAGAGTCCGTTTGCAGCTTTAGGCATGGTGCAGCCACTCTTCAATTAAATCTGCACTTTTGCAATAGAATGTGTTTCCTGGCTGTTACTCTTGAGTTCACTTTGCCCAGGGGAATGACTGAAGGTCTAAGAGCTCTAACACACTAAGGCATATGTGGTTTGATAATAAGCTGCAGCGTCAGCATCGTGGAGCTTGTTCTTTTTGAGCAACTGTTCATATATTAATGGGGAATGGGATTGAGTCTCTTGTTGGAGCATAATGTCTTAAAGTAACAGTCGAAAGTCATTATTTACTCACCTTCATGTTGGTCCAAACCCACATGCTGTGTATTTGTGTAACTGAAACATAATTTTTTTATTTTTATGCCGCCTTTGTAAAGAGACCACAGATGTTAAGTCCAAAAAAACAAAACAAAAACAAGCAAACATCGTAAAATTAGTCCAACTCAATCACTTTGTGTTTCACAGAAAAACAAAAAAATTGCATATGGGTTTGTAACTAGGAGTTTTGGGTGAACAATTACTTTAAGAGCGAAAAGACTGAGACTGTATATGCAGGGAACGCCGTCAAATAAAATCAGAAATGTGTCTTAAACTGAAGAGACTACAAAGTTTAACTTTTTATAAATGGAGTGATGCTATTTCCTATGCAATATCCAAAAATGTCTTTTAAGGGGTCATTACAAACTAGCCTTTCAGCTCACGAATTGGGGTTGTGGCTAAACTCATATATGTCATCAGACATCAAGCCTGTCTCGCTTCTCAGCAAAAGCTGTGAGGCTCTATCTCTTTATCAAAGGCACATCAAGATGCCATGGTGGAAGATGTTCAGACAAGTTCTGTCACCACTAACTGAGATTTCTGCAGAGACCAGTAGGGTTTGGTGTGAGAACGTCAGTGTTTCTGTCAGAGCGAAGAGC